TGGCTTTTTTAAAAATCTCAGGGCTAGGACAAATAGAGTTACTGGGGCCTGCTCGAGGCAATCGACGAACAGGATGATCATGATCCTGATTGTGATAATCCAAAATGCTTACAGATATGTCACTGATTGGTAACTGCGATTGGGCTAGAGTGATAGTACATTGGGTGGGGCCATGCCTTGCATGTGACTGACCCCGATTCTTTCCCCAGCATGTCATATGGTCTGCATGCACTCACAGGAGTCATTCCTAAGTGCCCCTGAACATCACCAAGTGCAGTCCAAAAAGGGAAAAAAAGAAATTTGAGGCTATGGCTGTGGCTAGATGATTGAGTACTTGTCCAGCAAGTGTGAGGTCCTGAGTTTTTTGTTTTCTTTTTGCTTTTTGGGTCACACCCGGCAATGCACAGGGGTTACTCCTGGCTCTGCACTCAGGAATTACTCCTGGCAGTGCTCAGAGCACCATATGGGATGCTGGGAATCGAACCCGGGTTGGCCGCATGCAAGACAAACGCCTTACCCACTGTGCTATCACTCCAGTCCCAAGGTCCTGGGTTTAATTCATGGTTCTGAGTACTGCAAGGAGCAATGCCAAAACACAAAGTCAGAGGTGGCACCCAAGCAATGCAGGGTGTGGCCCTCCCCCCAAATTAGATAGAGAACTTTAGGTTAACTATCAATACTGCTTTATTAATTGTAATAACAACACCTTAGCAGAACCAGAGAGATAATACAAGGGTTTACCTAAAGGGTTTATTTGCCTCCTACAAACCCCATGTACCACATAAGGTACTTAGGTACCACCAGGAGTGACCCCCTGAACACAGAGTCAGTAGTAGCACCTGCATACTAATGGTTGTGGTTCCAAAATTAAATATATAAACAAACCAAAATCACCCTAAAAAACCCAAACCAGAGTAATGTTAATAATGATGTTGAAGTATCTGGGAATTTAGCTGTATCATCATCTCAATTCGTTTACTCAATAAAGATATGTAAAGATGTTTAAATTTAAATATATTATTGATAATTATTGACTGTCACTGTCCTCCCACTGTTCATCAATTTGCTCGAGCAGGCCCAATAACGTCTCCACTGTGACAATTGTTTGTGTTTGGCGTATCGAATAGGTCATATAATTTTTAACTTAAATATATTTAAACATCTACATTTAACATATTCAAGAATAAAATCTAGGGGACCAGGGAGATAGTTTAAAGAGTTGGAACATACACCTTACATGTAGAAGTTTCCAGGTTCAATTCCAGACATACCATATGGTTTCTGGAGCACTGCCAGGAGCACACCTAGAGCACTGAGCCAGCAGTTTCCCCCAGGTACTATTAGTGTTGTTCCAAACCAAAAACAAAACATGAAACAATGAAAAACAATTCATTCTGCCTGGTCTCCAAGTATAACCAGGAACACTTAAGCCTTAAGAGGGAAGCAGCCACTGGTATGAGAACCTAGATGAAAACCACTGCTGGGTTTTGGGGTGCTTGGTTTCATTTTGGGGGTCACACCCAGCAGTGCTCAAGGATTACTGCTGGCGAGGCTCGGCAAATCAGGTCTACCGTGTGCATGGCAAGCATCCTACCTGCCATACTATCTTTCCAGCCCGAGAACCTAGACAAAAACTTGGGTATGGCCCAAACTCCACTGTAAGTAATAAAAAAGAAAATCTATTTACATTTTTAGAAAATGGTGCACTAACTCTGTACATCAAAACCATAAACGCTGGGGCCAGCACCACAGTACAGCAAGTAGGGCACTTGCCTTGCATGTGGCTGACCTGGGTTCAATCCTTGACATCCTATATGGTACCACAAACCTGCCAGAGAGGCAGGAGCAAGTCCTGAGCACTGCCAGGTGTGGCCCCAAAAGAAACAAAAACCATAAATGTCAGGGCGGAAGAGATAGACACCCAGTAGGGTGCTTGCCTTACATCCAGTCAACCTGGCACCTCAATCCCCGGCATCCTTTATGGTCCTCTAACCTCTGCCAGAAATGATTCCGGAGCAAAGTTCTAGGAGAAAGCCCTGAACACCACCAAAAACAAAGCAAAACAAACAAAAACCAGTAACACTATTCTAAACATGTTACCTAAATTGCAATAAAACTTCTTAAAATTAGGGCTTCAGTGACAGTACAGAATCAAGATGCTGGTCTTGCATGTGGCTGACCTAGGTTTGATCCCCCACACTGCACAGTCTCCCAAGAATCGTCAGGAGTGACCCAAGAGCAGAGTCGGAATAGCCCCCAAGCAACACCAAGTGTAGCCAAAAATCCACCCTCACCCTCCGCCAAATTTTTTTAGAATAAAATTTAGATGGGTCATTGCATTCATCTGGGGAACATAAAGTAACAAAATAGGAGACTAACACCCAAGATAAGTATCAGGAGGTTTACTCCATGGCTTGGAGGCCAGCCGCACACGCTAGGGGAAAAGGCAGCTCAGATAGAGAAGGGAGCACCAAACAAAGGGTGTTGGGAGGATCTTCCCAGGATGGGAGATGCATGCTGAAAGTAGGCTATAGACGGAACATGAGTGCCACTCAATGCCTCTTTTGCAGACCACAGCACCCAAAAGGAGAGAGAGAACACAAGGGAATGCCCTGCCACAGAGGCAGGGTGGGATGGGGGGTGGGAGAGATAACTGGGATCCGTAGTGGTGGGAAATGGGCACTGGTGGAGGGATGGGTATTTGATCATTGTTTAACTGAAACCCAAGCGCAAAAATTTGTAAGTCTACAACTGTACCTCATGGTGCTTCACTAATAAAAATTAAAAAAAAATTTTAGATGGGCCAGAGTGACAGTATAGTGGGTAGGAAGGACACTTGCTTTGTATGTGGCTGACCTGGGTTTGATTTCCAGCATCCCATATGATCCCCCGAACCCCTCCAGGAATGATCTGGAAAATGATCTGCAGAGCCAGGGGTAAGCCCTGAGTACTGCTGAGTGTGCCCCCAAAACAGAAAGAGTTCATTTGCTTTTAACTTTCAAAATATAGTAAGAGCCAGAGAAATAGTTCAGTAAGTAAAGCTCTTGACACAGCTAACCCAGGTTTAATCCCCAGGACCACATCATATAGGGTCTCCCAAACACCGCCAGGAGTAATTCTGGAGTGCAGGGCCTGGAGTAAACACTGAGCACTGCTGAGTTGGCCCTCCAAAATAAGTATACCTGAGATACCTTAAAGGCCTGGAGTATATGATTTCCTTTTTTTTTTATATATATATAAAACGTCTTATTTATTGAATCACCATGAGAACAGCCTTTCAGTTTAAGTCTCAGTCGGTCATACAATGAGGAGTATATAATTTCAATGCTGGAGTCCTAGCATCTACCAGCAGTACTGCATGCTTTCCGTAGAGCCACAAGGAGTGACCCCTGGAGCACTGAGCTGAGAGCGCCACTGAGTGGGCCACAAAACCCAAATAAATAAGTAATATTGTCCCCCCCAAAAAATTCAGTTGCTTTTATCAAGAAGTTATGAGTATACACCACGTAGGGAGCAAGTTAAAAGAAAATACATATGTAATATTTTCAAATCACACATTATAAGGAGTTAGTTAGGCATTGGTGTGTTAGTACAAGGGATAGGGTGGTTGCCTTGCATGCAACTGACTCCAGCACCACATATGGTCCCCAAAGCACAGAGCACGAAGGAAGCCCTGAGCATTGCTGTGTGAGGCCCCCAAAGCAAAAGGAAAGAGGGGGGGGGAGAGAGAGAGAGAGAGAGAGAGAGAGAGAGAGAGAAAGAATCTACTGATCAGAGAGCAGTGGAGAGTGCCACTATAAACTGTGAGGTAGGACTGCTGTCATTACAAAGGAGAGGTAACACTGAAAACAGCAAAGAAACATAAACAGCATATTTTAAACACAGACCATCAGGGCCAGTGATGATCTACGTGGTAGTGCACATGCATTGCACGACCCTCAGACTACCTCTGGGCATGGCCCTTGTGGCCCCCGGAACAAGAGCACAAAAAACAAACCATATGTACCACAGCACAGTGTCACATCTACAGACTATACAAAACACAACGCGACTACAAAATACGTAACATTCACAGCACATTTTATAAGTTGCTTTGATATACGCTATCTTATTTAACCATCACTGGGCACATTTTCCTGAAGAAATTAGGATGGGATAAAATTCACAAGGAATATCACGACTCTCAGTTTTCAACACACAAACCTCACATCCACAGTGGGCAAGCACGACAGCATCTCAGTCAAGGCTGGCAATGCTTGAGCCTGAGAGAATCTTGTGTTCTATCATGGGGGCCCAAGGGGCCACCCCGCATCTTCCTGTTTGCTTCTTCCACCTTAGACACCTCAACTCCTGTCACCCTCTCGAGAGAAAGGGGAGGGGGGATACCACGAAAGAGAAAATAAAAATCGAAAGGTCTATGAGATTTCGTATGAGATTCACAGATCGAAAGGTCTATGAGCTTCGTCTTCCCTTCACACCTCCGGACCTCAGTGACACTCCCCCCACCAAAGGAAGACGAGGCAGGAAGTAGTAAAAGCACTAAGGAGCAACGGGAGGCTCTTGGCTTCCAGGAAGGTCACGAAAGCCAGGCAGGGGTAGGGTGAGAGCAGAGAAAGCCAAGACATGGGGGAGGGGCCCGAGGGGAGGGTGGGCGCTGGAAGGAAGCAAGAGCAGAGCAGGCGTCTCCGAGACTGGAGAACCCAGAAGACACTAGGGAGCCACAGCTGCCGGAGAAACGCTAACGACCTGAGAGGGTCCTGGAGCAGGGCCCAGCGCTGAAGGACCCCGGGGTTTGGATGACCGGAAGCAGAGACCCCCCCATACACGACACCAGAAGGGGGCGCAGGTGACACCCCGCGGGAGAGAATGAATGGGAGAGGCGGTTCGGAGGGCGGGGCAGAGGAGGGGCCCCGGGATGGGCGGGGCACAGACCCCTTTCCAAGTCCAAACCCCGGCCCCGGGAGCCCGGGGAGCAGCGGCTCCGCGCCTGCAGCACTCACCGCCGGTCTCGTCAGTTACATAGGGAGTCGCCATCTTGAAAACGCAAAGCACTTCCGGCGTGAGCGGGCTGGGGTCCCGCCCCCCTCCCCACCGGAAGTGGAGTCCCGCTCGCAGCCAGCCACCATTTTATTCTTAAAGAGAGAGTGCACCCTTTGCTGGACGGAGGTAGAGGCGGAGGAAGCCGCGGGGGGGAGGGCGGTAGAGACGGAGGACGTGAATAAAAATAGAAGGCTGGGGCTCTTTCGCCGGCCCTCGGCGAGCCTGCTGCGCGTCAAGCGGTCCTCGGGCGGCGCGACGAGCCCCGCGCCTCACCCACGAGCATTCCTCGCCTCCGGGCCTGCGAGCGGAAGCGGGGGCCCACCTGCGCCCCGACAGTGCGGCTGACTGCCTGCTTCGGGCCCCGCCGGGCACCCAGGCCCCGGAGCAGTTGGGTGGAGCGGGCCAACTCTGGCCACGCTCTGGGGCGCGCAGCGTTGCCGGGGAGCCCCCAACTCCCCCCCCCTCCGACGGCCGCGCGCTCCAAGGCGCGCGCCGCGAACCCCCCCCCCCCGCGCCCCCCGGCTCCACCCTGGGGACGGGGACCCGCGCGCGAGGCGGGCGCTGCCGGGCGGTCACCTGTCCCCGCAGCCTCCGCGTGGACGGCGGCTTCCATGGCCGAGGAGGAAGGGCCGGGCCGGGCCGCGCGGGGCGGGCAGCCGGGCCTGGCCCTGCCCCTGGGGCGGCCCCAGGGACTCGAGCGGCGGCGTGACGACGGCCGGCCGGGCTCTGGCCTTCCACCCCGGAGGCCCCCGCGGCCCGGCTGCGGGTCAGAGGGCAGCGGACGCGGCTCGAATTCGGCCGGCCCGCGGCCGCCCGCCCCGACGCTGGGGAGCCGGCGCCGGGCAGCCGGCCAGGGGTCCCGGCCCCGCCGGTCGTCCCCTCCGCAGCCCTGCCCTGCCCGGGCCTGTCGGCTCTTCCCGCAGGACCCCGGGTTCCTCCTCCCCCGCCCCTTGCACGGGCTGTTCTGCCTCCGGGGCTAAATCCTGCTAAACTTGTTTCCCCCGAAGCCTGGGAGGGGCCGGCCGCGGGCTCCTCTCCTCGGTGTCGGCTTTGCTCTGCCCGGCCCCAGCCCCCGTCCTCGCTCCAGCCACTCATTGAGCTTCCTGAGCCCCGGCTCTGGCTTAGGTCAGTGTCCTAGGCTCCTTGCCTCCGTTGTAAAGCAGAAATCCAAAGACAGTTCGGCGGGCTGGGCGCCGCTTTCACATGCGAGAGGCCTGGAGCACTGTAGGATCTTCCAGGAGCCGGGAGTGGCCCCTGAAGCACTGCACTGTGGCCCCAGAGCAAAATGAAAAAACAAAAATAAAGCATCAAAGCTTTCTCAGGTCACAACTTTCCTCCCTTCCCATAAATCCACCAGAGGTGCAACTCGTAACTTCTTAAAAATCGTTACTTAAAAATTGATGTGCTTGGGGCTGGAGAGAGAGCACAGCGGGTAGGGCGTTTGCCTTGCACGCGGCCAAAACGGGTTCGATTCCCAGCATCCCATATGGTCCCCTGAGCACCGCCAGGAGTAACTCCTGAGTGTAGAGTCAGGAGTAACCCCTGTGCATCACCAGGTGTGACCCAAAAAGCAAAAAAAAAAATTGATGTGCTGAGGTCGGAGTGATAGTACAGCGGATAGGGCATTTGCCCTGGTTACCATCCCCAGCATCCCATATGGTCCCTTGAGCACAGCCAGGAATAAGAGTCCTGACTGCAGAGCCAGGAGTAAGCCCTGAGCAACGCCGGTGTGACCCAAAAGCAAAAAAAAAAAAAAAAAAAAAAAAGGATGTGCAAGAGCCTGAAGGATAGTACAGTGGCAGGACCCGTGCCTTGAGGAACCACCCCCCTCCCACCCGTGTCCAGGGTTGGACCTCTGAAATTGCTTATGCCCTGGGTACTGCAAGGAGTGATCCTTTAGCACAAAGCCAGGCATAAGCCCTAAGGACCGTCAGGTGTTGCCCAACAAACTAACAAAACAAACTGTGTGTAAGGGCCAAGAGATAGTACAGAAAGTAGAGCACTTGGGTTGAGCCCTGCACTGCTCTGGCCCCTGAACACCCCCCAGAGGTGGTCCCTGAGCAGAGAGCCAGGAGTAAACACTGCGCACCGCTGGATGTAACCCCAAAACAAAGGCCCCACAAAAAAAAAAAAAACTTGAGGGGTTAGAGCATTAGCTCAGTGGGTAGGGCATTCGCCTTGCACGCAGCCAACCTGTGTTCAATTCCCAGCATCCCATATGGTCCCCCGAGCACCGCCAGGAGTACTTCCTAAGCGCAGAGCCAGGAGGAACCCCTGAGCATCTCCAGGTGTGACCCAAAAAGCCAGTAAATAAATAAAAACAACTTGAGGTGTGTTCAGTGCCAAGTTATTCAAGTTATTGTGAGTGTTCTAACACTCCCATCCGAAACTCCTTACTGGCTGAACGTCAGCCCTGCCCTGGCCTTCGCCTTGTGACTGCTAGTGAATTAGTGGTGAGAGTGTGGCGTGCTTGGTCTTGACTGTCAAAATGAGGAAGACAGGTGCTGGGGATCCATGCGCCTTTCTATAAGACGGAATCCTAAAGTGGCCCCGATTGACCGCCTACTCAGGACCCCTCCCAGTGTGCCCAAGACATCCTGCCTTAGCTCTGGGGCTGACAGGAAGTGAAACTCAATTGACTGCCTAACAGACCTACCTAGGACCCAGCCCTCTGTCCCGGATGTGCCTCCCCCCCACATACACACACCCTGAGGAGGAAGAGAGGAAAGAAGAGGCCGGGGAGAACAGGCTGTTGTTTTTTCCTTTCCTTTTGTTCATTGTGGTTTCTTTCTTTCTGATTTTTATGATGTGGTTGATTAAAGAAATGAGCACCTGGAACCATAGGCATTACACACCTCAGATGTTTCTTGGCCCTTCTTCACCCCACCCCCATCAATAACCGACGAGGTGCATGATGGAGCACAGATCATAAAGACTCAACTTGGCTGACTACCATTTTTCTTAATTAGAGAACACCTCCTCTTTCACTTTGAAGTTTTGAAAAATGTCTTAAACGGCGCGCCTTCAACTACATATAGGAATATATCCAAGGATGAGGGAGTGAATAACATGAGCAGATAGGGTGCTTGCCTTTAACATGGCGGACCTGGGGTTCGATCCCTGGCATCCCACAAGGTTTCCTAAGCACCACCAGGAGTGATTCCTGGGTGCAGAGCCAGGAGTAAACCCTGAGCACTGCTGGGTGTGGCCCCAAAACAAAACAAGAAAGATTAGAATCAGGGGCCGGACTGTTAGTACAAGCGGGGTAGGGTGAACCAGGTTCGATTCCGAGCCAGTTTCCATCCTCAGGTCCCCCGAGCACTGCCAGAAGTGATACCTGAACATAGGAGTAAGTCCTGAGCAATAGTAGGCATAGGACCCAAAAACAAATTAAAAAAAATTAAAATAAGTCTTGGATCTCTAGATGAGGATTTCAGGGATAGAAAAATTACTGGAAGTGGGGTTAGGGGACTTGCTCTTGTATTTTATGTTTGTTTTGGATAACTTGAAGTGGGGAGGCTTTTCATCGTATAAACAAACACAGTCACTCATTTTTGCAGTCCTTGAGCTGGGCGATTTCTTTGGCTTGTCTTGTAGAACTAAGTACAGGACGTGGTATACAACAGGCCTTCAGAGTGTTTATTAACTATATGACTAAGGAGGTCATATAGGAAGAAAAGGTTGAAGTTTGGGGAGTGGCAGGGGCCTTGTCTTTTTAAGACTGGGTGGGAGACAGGAACAGAGAGTCAAGCCCTCTCCAAGTTCTGCCTCAGATCTCCAGTTCATATACAACAACAGTATTTCCAAACCTTATTTGGAAGCTGCATTTCTCATTAAAATGGAGGAGGCTCTTCAACAAACATTACTTGAAACAATCAAAAACTACTTATATCCCCCTGTTTCCACTAGAGGGCCTCCTGTATTCGTTCCTTCACTCCGACCACCACCAGAAGTATGCGTGTGTGTTTGTGCGTGTATGTGTGTGTGTTTGTGTATGCACACAACACAACATACGCACATAACTTTTCTAGTCAGAGCTCTCCCCTCCCAGTCTCTCACTAACAGATGAAAAGAGGACGATCCCAAGAACTTAACCTTTGTTTCTGTGCCCTACTTCAATGAAGAGGGTAAGACTGAGGAGTTGGGGTGGGGCCAGAGAGCAGGATGCCTGGGCCCCCAGTTCCCGCCAGTAAGTCTGCAGGCTTCTGTCTCTCTGCCCTACTCTCCAGCCTGGCCACCTTCCATGCCGCCCCCAAGAACTTTAACAACTCCAGAGCCGATTGGGGACTGGAAGCACTGAAAGGTCTCTTGTTGCTTCGGAGCTGGTCACCAGGTAAAGGGGGATTGGAGGGGAAAGAGAAAGGATGGACAAGTCCAGGGTGCTCTTTGCACCTAACCTCCATCCCAGAACCGAGGGAAGGATTTGAGTCTTGAGAGAAGGGAAAAAACAAAGACTGATGCGACTGGAGTCTGGGGAAGGTGGGCCTGATTCTTTCAGGGATGCCAAGGGGGTTGTGGAGCCCAAGTGTAGGGGTCGCAGATGTGGCTTGTGGATCGTGGGGCCTGGCTGCTGTGGGGTCTTCTAGGTAGGAATTTAGTTCATGGCGCCTGGCAAGGTGCTGGCCATGGAAGCCCTCCTTCCTGGGCGGGCAAGATTTTAGAGAAGCGAGACGTTAGCTGGGTGGGCAAGAGCCAAGCGTCCCACCCGCGGGCCCGCCCCTATCTTGGCCTCGCAGGGCTGCAGGCAGGGAGACCGGGAGTGATTTGGAAAGGGGCGCACACACAGATAGTAACCGGGTGTCCCCGGAGCGGGAGGGAGGAGCGCTGGAGGAGGGCAGGCGGGCACAGACAGACCAGAGCGTCCACAGGGCTCCGATGTTTGGGGGGCTGGAACCAGGGCGGGTGGGGGGCCTCTCCAGACTGGCAAGTTCCCGTGTTGGGGGCGCGGGGTGCGGGCGCGGGCGGGCCGGCTGGAGGGGCGGGCAGCTGTGTCGTCAGAAGCGGGGCGGCCCTGTGGGCCTGGCCCGTCCCCTCCAGCCCAGCTCGGGCTCCCGCTCCCGCGCCGGCGCTTCAGCTCGGACCGCGCGTCCTCGCCACGCCAGGTAGAGACCCCGCGCGCCCCCCGCCGTGTCCCGCGCGCGCCGCCCGAGCGGGAGGTGCCGGGGCCGCGGGCAGGGGCCCCCCGCGGGCTGGGGGAGGCGGCGGGCCGGGGAGGAGGAAGCGTGACAGCTGGAGCCGGTAGCTAGAAAGGCTCGCGCCGGGATGCGGGGGGCGGCGGGGGGCTGGGCCAGAGCCGCAGCGGGGCGCCGGCGCCCCCCGGCCCGCCCCCGACCATCCCCGCGGTCCCTCCCGCGCACCGGGCAGCGGGTGACTTGGCTCCTTGGGGACCCGCGGCGCAGGACAGCCGTTTTAGAAGCCCCGCGGCGCTGCACGGATGGTCCAGGGTGCTTGTTTGGCCTCCTGCTCCCCAACGCCCCACCTCTCGCCTTTCCACACCTGCCACAGGGAAGTTTCCGAAAGTGTCTGGGCCACGCCACCACTTCATTCACCTTAGTGGGGGAGGAGGACGCAGAGTGGAATGCTCTTTCCTGGGCAAGATATGCAAATATCGCCGGGCATCTCCGTAGCCTCCAAACAAACCCCCAAGCCATGCCAACATTTCAACTTCCTCTTGTACTACACAATGACACTCCCCACTCCCTCATGGACACCACCCTGGAGTCAGACTGCACCTCCTTCTGCAGTCTCCGTGGGGGCGACACAGAATTTGGGGCTTGAAGTCCAGTGGGTCTGTCTCAGGGGTCCGAGACTAGCAGAGATGGTCAGGCCTCCCTGTTTCCTCTCTGGAAAAGAGGGGGGCAGTCCTGGGTGCTTAAGGGATTCAGAAGGCCAGGTTATCCCGGCTGGACTATCAGGGAAGAGTGAGTGCCCCTGGGGTTTCCTGCTGGGTTAGCCTGAATGTCTGTCGTGGGGGGCGGGCAGAGCTGATTCCTGAGTAATGGTAAACTTGTGTGACTTGGAATGTGAGCAATGAATGTTGAAGTGAAAAGGGAAACTGTAAAGGTTAGCATTGGCTTTGGAAATTGTATTTATCTATTGGTTGACACCAGTTTTTGCATTTGAGTTTAAAAACAAAATCCAGGCCAGGAATGTAGCTCGGTGGTAGAGTGCTTATCTCACATGTGTGTGGCTCTGGATTCAATCCCTGGCATAGCATACAAGCACAAATTCAAAATAACAATAATAATAAAAACGAGATCGAGAGGGCTGGGGAGAAAGCTCAAAGACTGGAGGACATGCTTTTCTGTTTTGGTTTGGAGCCACACCTGGCGGTGCTCAGAGCTTATTCCTTGCTTTGCACTCAGGGATCTCGTGCAGGGATCATTCCTAGTGGTGCTCAGGGTATCATATGTGGTGACAGGATCAAAACTAAATCAGTGTGTACAAGGCAAGCACCCAAACGGCTGTACTATCTGTCAGGTCCCTGGAGCACATGTTTTGCATACTGGAAACCCCAAATCAAAAGTCAATCCTCAGCACCACGTGGTCCCCTGAATACTGCCTTGGGTGATCCTTGAACATGGAGCCAGGGATAGTCCCTGAGCACAGCCAGGTGTGAAGGCTGCCCCCCACTGCCCCCCCCCAAAAAAAACAAAAAACAAAAACACATGGAACTGAAGACAGGATGTTTAGACTCTCGTGCCCTTAAAAGAGTTTTGCATTCTCTCTCTCTGTCTCTGGGCCTCAGTTTCCTCCTCGGCAAACTGTGAGAGCCTCCCAGCCCTGCTGCTGTTTTGGGATTCTCTCTCTTTTGTGAACTTCTGATTTTCTCCCCCAAGTCGGTTGGAGTGGCAGGGAACCCAGAGGGGGAAGGGCAGGATGAGTCACAAATAGCTGGCAGGCAGAGCAGACCCCACCCTCCCAGCCCTGGCATTTACCGCCTGCTGCCCGGACTAGCCCAGGTTATAGCCTCAGGGTTGGGATGGAATTGAGGACGAACTGGACTTGTTCCTGGACTTTATGGGCGCACAACCTTGAAGTTTGCTGCCTTTCAGCAACTGGGAAGGCAGACTTTCATTGAAAGAAGTCAAGACAGTTGAAAAGGTCCCTCGGGACCTCATATCCAAAATCTCAGCCCAGGTTATGTCCTTGGATGTGGAAGCTGTGTATCAACTCATTACCCTCCCAGAGGCAAAGTGCAGGTTGATACAATGCACCTGTGCTGGAGATATGACACTGATTTGGAAGGTGAGGGTGGCAGAGTGTGGAGGTGTGCAAGGGGGGCACACTGCTGCTGGGGGTCCCTAGAAAATATTCCTTCTGGAGGCAAAGGCAGCATTTTTTAATCTCCACAGCGTTTCTCTAGGTCTGATAGTAGTAACAGTGGCTCACAGGTGAGTCTTCCCCTGTGCCAAGCAGCTTACTCAGGATATTGCCTAATTGTCATTTCATCCCCGTATTATTACTGACTTTTCCAAGTCAACATTTTACTGATTAGGAAACAGGTCTGGGGAGATGAAATAACAGACTCTAGAGCAAAATTTCTAATCTATACCAACGTAATTTAAATGTTTATCTCTGCTTTTTTTCTTTTGTTCTTTCTTTTGGGGAGGGGCTTCACCTGGTAGTGCTCAGTGGACCATATGCTGGGAATAGAACACAGGCCTTTTGCATGCAAAGTATGCACTCGATCCATTGAGCAATCTCTCCTTCCTTTTCTCTGGTTTTAGTGAAGTAAAATGATTTTATTTAGGATTTAAGAAAGAAAGGAGAAAGGAACGAGAGAAAGAAGGGAACCCCGTTAACGAAAAGGAATTATACACCCCAAGTTGGGTTCCAGGCAATTACAAAGTGGATTATATCCAAACATTTCCAATGTCCCCCCTCCTCAATTTTGGGGCCACATCCGGCAATACTTAGGAACCACTCTTATGCTCATGGGACCATATGTGATGCCAGGGATTGAACCCAGGTTGGCCACATTAAATGTCCTACCTGCTGTAGTATCGTTCCAGACCCTAATGTTCATTTTCTTAACCTCTACTGTATGCTGTGTTTAAGATCTGAGGGACCAGAAAGGCGCCTTATGAAAAAGGGACAAGAGAGGAGTATTCTATCCTTTTTCCTGTCCTTTGTCCCTTGTTTGTTCTCTTCCTGTCACTTTCTCTCTCAGATTCCATTTCCTAGAACTTTGGAGCCATCTAAGAATCCCCGGAGGTACTCAGAGAGGCTAATTAAGCCATAGAGGCCTCATTACCCATAGGCCTATTATATATTAATTAGATCTGTTGGCAGCTGAAGTCGGATAATAGTCATTGAAAAGGGTTAGATGGGTAGAGCTCTTTCTCCTAAATGTCAGTGCCCCAGAGCCACTTTCTCATTGTTTCCTGAGTGCTCCGTCATAAGAATGATAAACTGCATAGAGGTGGGTAGAAAAGCTGTTCCAAGGGCAGCAACTGCAGGAAAACTTGTGCCAGCAGAATCGAAATTCTTGTAGATGCTTGCTGCCTCCTTGAGCCTAACTCAACAACTTTTAAATTAGGTGTCAGCAGGGAGGCAGGTTAAAGATTTGAACCACATACCTCAGCAAGTACTCTAGCATTATTCCTTTGTTGAATAAATACTCATTTAGCACCTACACAGCATAGTGTTCCAGGGAGTCGCATATCTCCCTGTCAGAGTGAACATACAGTATTCCATTAACCATATTTGGACTAACAGCAAAATATGACCTTTTGACTTATACAGTCATTTTTACAACCCTTCAGGAACATCTGCTGTGTGCAGGACACTGTTTTAGGTATTGAGAATACAGTGGTGAACAAGAGTAAGTTCCTTCTCATGCGGAGCTTAACATTTTGTTGGAAAGACAACTAGAAAACCAAGGAGCAAACAAATCAGCAAAATAAATTTCCACTTGTGCGCTTGCTTCGGCAGCACATAGGCTAAAATTGTAATGTTACAGAGAATAGCAGCATGGCCCCCGTACAAGAATGACACAAAAATTCATTGGGCAATCCATCATGTTCAATAAAGCTTCGAAAAAATAAAGCAATAGGGGCTGGAGAGATAGCACAGCAGATAGGGCATTTCTTGCACATAGCTGACCCAATTCAATCCCTGAGACCGCATATTGTTCTCCAGAGCCCACCTGAGAATGAGGCAGGAATGATCCTGAGGCAGGAGTAATCCCTGAACACCGCCAACTGTGGCCCCAAAATAAACAAACAAAAAATTAAAAATAAAGAAAAGAAAAATAGTTGGAGCAATATTAATCAGTGGATAAGGTGCTTGCTTTGCATGCAGTTGACACAGTTCAATTCTCCACGCCCCGTATGATTCCCCAAGCCCCTTCAGGAGTGATAATCCCTGAGTGCAGAGCCAAGAGCTAACCCTCAGTATCACCAGGTGTAGCACCCCACACACACCCCAAAAAAATTTTTAACTTGGGGCTGGAATGATAATACAGCAGTTTGGATGCTTGCCTTGCAGGTGGTTGACCTGGGTTCAATCCCTAGTACCACACTTGGTTCCCTGAGTCCTGCCAGGAGTGATCTCTCCCCGCAGAGCCAGGACTAAGTCCCAAGCACTGACATGTGTGTCCTCCAAAAAGAAAAAAATTAAAATAATGAAACAATAATAATTATCACTCGTGGCAAGTTCTAAGAGGAAACAAAGGAGGGTTCTGTGAGAAAGGAGTGGGGGCTAGTTTAGAATGGAATGACCCGGGAAGGCCTCCTGAAGGAGCTGACATTTCAGTTGAGGCCAGAAATAAGCTCTGAGTGGGGAGCAGGAACACTGGTCAAGGCGGAAAGAACACTGAGTCTTGTGGCCCTGAACAGGGAAGAACGTGGTGTGTGAGGAAGGGAGACGAGGGCCTTGACACTGGCAGGCAGTGTGGGAAGGGTACAGGCAGGGCCCTGCTTGCATTTCTTTTTATTTTAACATATCATCATCATTATTATTATTGTTACCTAATCACCATGAGATACAGTTACAAACTTTCATGATTATGTTTTAGTCATACAATGGTCGAGCACCCATCCCTCCACCAATGCGCATTTTCCACCATCAGTGTCCCCAGTATCCCTCCTGCCACCCCCACCCCATCTCTCCCCATGCCCCTGCGGCAGGGACTTTTGCTTGCACTTCTTTTTTTTTTAATATATTTAATTTATTTATTTATTTGTTTGCTTTTTGGGTCACACCCAGCGATGCACAGGGGTTCTCCTGGTTCATGCACTCAGGAATTACTCCTGGCCGTGCTTGGGGGACCATATGGGATGCTGGGAATTGAACCCGGGTCGGGCTGCATGCAAGGCAAATGCCCTACCCACTGTGCTATCACTCCAGCCCCTGTTTGCACTTCTTATTAGAGGTTTGGCACCTCTTACTAGCTGCCTTGGGAAATCCCAGCCTCTTCCACTTCCATTTCTTCATTAATAAAATGGCAGTAGCCATTATCACTTATCTTAAGGCGTTTGGTTTGACTTGTTATATAATAATAACAATATTTTGTTGTTATTGTTGTTTTTGGGTCACATCCAGCAATGCTCAGGGCTTACTACTGTCTCTGTTCAGGGATCACTCCTGGGAGTGTTCAGGGGACTGTGGGGTCCTGGGATCAAACACCAGTCTGCCACAAAGCAAGGAAAGTATTTTACCACTGTACTTCTTTCCTGCCCCTACAGTAATAATCTTTTTTTCTATTTCTAATCTTTTAAAATGTTTATTGAATCGCCGTAAGATACACAGTCCTACCGTAATATGTGATATGCCAGGTGCAATGTTAGATACTCCATGAAGTGAGGTTATTTTCCTACAGGTAGCATTCTCCCTACTTCACAGATGTCATTTGTCCAAATCACACAAATTACATAGGTCACATGCTTTCAGAGCTAAGAATGGAACCCAGATGGATTGATGGACTGATGGTAATTGAGTTTGACTCACAAACCTCGCTGCACCATACTAATAACGTGAGAGGTTGCAGCTGCTGGTTTTTGACTTCTCAAAGCCAAGCTGCCTTCTGCACTTGGGACTGGGGCCTGGCCTGGTGTTCCAGCATGAGCCAACTGATGGCTCCTCAGCCCAGAGCCAGTAGCTGAGGCTTGGAGACTGAGCCATAGTCCAGCCGATAAGGCACTTGTCTTGCGCGCATCCCACCCACCATCCTCGGCATCCATATGGTACCCTGAGCACCTCCAGGAGTGATTCCTGAGCACAGAGCCAGGAATAACCTCAGGACACCGTGGGGTGTGGCTCCTAAAACACCCCCCCCCCCCGCAAAAAAAAAAAAAGGCTGAGGCTTCCTAAATGCAGCTGCCCAGACGGGGTGGACGGAAGACCCTACAGTGAGCTCTCAGTACAATTGCTTCTTCCCACTGGGAAGCCAGGCGGACCCTCAGAGCCCGCTTTCAGATTTCCTCCCCGCTGGGCGGCCTGGTCCTTCCCCAAGTGGACTTTGGAGTGGACTATCCCAGAAGGCGGCCGTGGCGGCCCGGGCAGCCCGCGCTGGTTGTGTGGGGCGCGCGCGCGCTCGGAGCGCTGGAGGTCGTTGCGGGCGTGGGTGGCTTAGGCAGCGAGTGGGTAGCAGAGCTCCACGGTGGTGGCTGGAGGCGGAGAGAGATGGGCTCGTGTCCCTGGGGCAGCCGTCGTACCAAGGCAGGGAGCAGCCCCTGGAGGGGAGCGGAGCGGGAGAGGCGGGAGGAAGGACCGAGACCAGCGACAGACAGACAGACAGACACACACACACACACACACACACACACACACACACGCACACTCCCATCTAGACGTGGGCAGCGGGAGGCGGGGATGGCGCCCGGTCAGAGATGAACCAAGCCGGGGAAGGCTCCAGACACGGAGGACAGAGAGTCAGAGGTGACTCAGAGGGAACAGAGGCTGTCAGGAAGCGGGAAAGACATAGGGGAGAGGCACAGAAGCCAAGGAGGAGCCTGGAGGGGTGGGGGCGCGGGTCAGGGGGCGCCCTTGGGGACCAGAAACGAGCAGAAATAAAGAACAGGCGGATTGGAGAGGGAACCAAGCAGAAACAGGAGGGGGACAGCCAGTTGCCTCTTCCCTCCACCTGCCCTTCTCATCTCTCTTCCTCCAGACCAACTATTTTAGGAGGAGACCCGGGCGCCAGAAGTACTACCTAGTTGCCTTTGTGAAAATCCTTGAGAATAGAGCTAAGATGGCCAAGGAGAGGGGCCTAATAAGCCCCAGTGATTTTGCTCAGCTGCAAGAATACATGGAATGTGAGTCTTCCCCCGCAGCCCCTCAGTTCTGGAGACCTCACCCCAGAGAATCTCTCCTCCGGATCCCCCTCTGCCCTTCTCCCCCCAGCTCAGCCTGGCTTTGCCCAACAGGCTCCTGAGATCTCCAAGTGTCCAGGAAGGGAGGAGAGGGGCTGGGCAGGACACCTGGGGGTCTCACCTCTCTCCCCGCCATCTCTGGCTCTTGGTTTAACTCAGAGAAGAGAGGCCTTTGGGGCATGGCACTTGGGAAGATCTGAAAGGTTTTTTTCTGTTATTTCTTGTTTCTTACTGGAATCTCCTCCTTCTCCTTCTCCTTCTCCTTCTCCTTCTCCTTCTCCTTCTTCTTACTCTTCCTCCTCCTCCTCCTCCTCTTCTTCTTCCTCTTCTTCCTCCTCCTCCTCCCCCTCTTCCTCCTCCTCCTCCTCCTCCTCCTCCTCCTCCTCTTCTTCTTCTTCTTCTTCTTCTTCTTCTTCTTCTTCTTCTTCTTCTTCTTCCTCCTCCTCCTCCTCCTCCTCCTCCTCCTCCTCGTCCTTTTGAACCACCATGAGAAAAAGTTACAAACCTTTCATGTTTGAGTTTCAGTCATACAATGATCAAACACCCATCCCTCCACCAGTGCATATTTTCAACCACCAATGTCCCCAGTATCCTCCCACCCTTCCCAACCCTCCTCCTGCCTCTGGGGCAGACAATTTCCCCCATACTCTCTCTCTACTTTGGGGCGTTATGGTTTACAATACAAATACTGAGAGGCCACCGTGTTTTGGTCCTTTATCTACTTTCAGCACACATCTCCCATCCCAAACGATCCCTCCAACCATCGTTGACTTAGTGATCCCTTCTCTATTCCAGCTGCCTTCTCCCCCACCTCATGAGGCAGGCTGAAATTTCTTCTTTATCTCACTTGAACCTTTTTATGTTTTCTGCATTGGAGGTCTGGATGGGACTCTGGCAGCAGGGAGGGGGAGAATCTGATTCATGTTCTTCTCTCACTATCTTCATACCCTAGACTCCACGCAAAAGGTCAGTGATGTCCTAAAGCTCTTTGAGGAAGGTGGAAAACTGGCGAATTATCTCCAAGGAGATGTGAGTGACAGCGGGTAATTCCCCTCCTGGAGTAACCCCTCCCATTTTGTTTTTGCTTCTTCATTGGGATTTGCTGCTCCCAATTTCTAGGGATTTTTCTGGGTTTTCCCCCTAAGTATGTACCCTTATCAAATCACTGAAATCTTTTGTAACTGCAACTATTGCTTTAGGACAAAGCTAGAGATTCTGTTAACTCAGGACTTGGCCCCAGGAAACCACACTGCTTACTTGGATGCTTCTGAGTTCAGCACTTAATGTCTCCGCCCGCACTACTCCTAATTCTTCATTACCCCAGCACCCCGGAGTAATGTGTGCTCTCATCACAGGCTATTCAGTATAAGGGATTCCAGGAATTCCTGAAAATCTATCTGGAGACGGATAATGTTCCTCATTACCTAAGCCTGGCACTGTTTCAGTCCTTCCAGACTTACCAACCCATAGAAGAAAGTTTGGAGAAAGGTATGGTCATAGAACATGGGGACTGGGCTGGATCCAGTACATGATCAAATTAGTGTGATTTGGGGGGTTAGAATTGAATTGAAGGGGCTGGAGCAATAGCACAGCGAGTAGGGCGTTTGCCTTGCACGCAGCTGACCTAGGTTCGATTCCCAGCATCACATATGGTCCCCTGAGCACCGCCAGGAGTAATTCCTGAGTGCATGAACCAGGAGTAACTCCTGTGCATCGCCGGGTGTGACCCAAAAAGCAAAAAAAACAACAGCAAAAAAAAAGAACTGAATTGAAGCACAGGCTGAGGGGGAAAGAAATGGAGGTAAGGGAGAAGAGCGGGCAGTCTGGTTAGAAGCTGGAGGGAAGAGAGTTAAAGGGAAGATTGGAACAAAGGAAAAGAGTGAGAGCAGAGTGTGGCTCCATCTCAGATCTCCATGCTTTTCTGTCTTGGGGCCAAAAACTTGGCAGTGCTCAGAGGTAGCTCTGGAGAGCATGTGATATTGGGGATTGAACTCCTCACAGAGCATGCATGCCAGTCCTTGGAGCCATCTCTCTGGCCCTTCAGCTGTCCTTTGTTTTATTTTGTTTTGGGGGTTCCACCCAAATGTGTTCAGGGATTATCCTGGCTCTGGGTTCAGGGATTCACTCATGGCAATGCTCAGAGGACCAGAGATGATAGAACGTGGGTCAACCACATGCAAGGCAAGTGCCTTACCTGTTGTATGATTTTTCTGGCCTTCTTTTGTCCTTTTTATAACCAGATGTGGTATGCCTCAGTGATGTCTCCTGCTACTTCTCCCTTCTGGAAGGAGGTCGGCCAGAGGACAAATTAGAATGTGAGTTGCCTTCTGGACTGGGGACACAGGAAAGGTGAAGGGAGAGGGGATGTTCGTAGACTTTTTACTTTCATTTTCTCAGGATTCCTACAGGCCTGTAGGGCCAGCCAGAAATGGGACCAGAGACCGGACTCATTTCCTCTGTACTTTTGCTTCCTAATATCTAATGTCATGCACGTTGTCACCTCTATTTTCATGTCTTTTGGTGGCCTGCAGTATTCTTGGAAGTGGGGAGAAGTGTACTATTTTCCCTATGAGGTTCATCTAACCTGCTTGCACTCCTTTTGTTGGGACTGAGAAAAGTCTCAGCCCCATCTCCACATTCGGGGCTCTTCAGACAAACACTGTCTCCTGATCTCTTTGTTACCCCAATATTCTATTATGAATTTGGGGGAGGTATCCATTACAAAAGGATTCTGATCCCTCTAAAATGCTCCACAGTTACCTTCAAGCTGTATGACACAGACAGGAATGGGATCCTGGACAGCTCGGTGAGTTGGGGTACCCAGATGCTGGGCAAGGGAGCATGTGTCCATGTGTCTGTGCCTTCCTGTTCCAACTCTTCCAGGATCATAAGACGCAGAGGGAGAATTGAGTCCTCTAGGACTAAACTTGGGCGTAGGCCCCAAGCTCTTGACCCCTCAAAGAGGAGGCTGGAAACAAGAATTGGGGGTGGCCTTGCAAATGTATGAACACACATGGACAATCATTTACTGGGCAGAGGAACCTGAGAGTGAGCAGTGGATCTGGGGGTGGAACCCAGGAACCCTAATTTCTGGAGCAGAGTTTGGTTGAGGTCATGAGGCAGGATATGGTGGTGGCTCTTACCCTCTTGGCCCCCAGGAGGTGGAAAAGATCATCGTCCAGATGATGCGAGTGGCTGAGTACATGGACTGGGATGTGTCTGAACTGAGGCCGGTAAGGCAGTTCTTCCTTCATTGTCCTCCTGGTTCCTTTCCCCTGCTCAGTCCCATGTGGAACTTACCCCATTTCTGACAGGCACCCTGGTTCTCGTGGGCTCAGGTGACTGGACAGGTGTCCTCAGGGGCTTTGGGGAGGTTCCAGACCCCAAGGGCCACCAAGACTAAAAGTCACTGCCTTCACCCCTGTCCTCTGCTCAGATCCTTCAGGAGATGATGAAAGAGATTGACTACGATGGCAGTGGTTCTGTCTCCCTGTCTGAGTGGCTCCGGGCTGGTGCCACCACAGTGCCCCTGCTGGTACTGCTGGGTCTGGAGATGGTGAGTTGAAGAGTCTTGAAGATGACGAAGTCATCTGCCCTGGTTGTGATCCTCGAAGTGCTGAGACACCCACTGTGTTCATCTGCTGTGTTCTTCTAGACCCTGAAAGACAATGGCCAGCACATGTGGCGATCCAGAAGGTTCCCCCGACCAGTCTACTGCAACCTATGCGAGTCGAGCATCGGTCTCGGCAAACAGGGGCTGAGCTGTAACCGTGAGTGGTGGGGTCTGGGTGTGTGGGAGCCAAGGGCTAGTCCATCCAGTTAGAAGTGGGAGCTGAGTCTCTGAACTTAGAACTAAGTGACCTAAGAGACCTGGATGTGAGTCCTGGACTTTGACACTGATAAGCTCTGCTACTTTAGAAAAAGCACAGAACTTTTTTTTTTTTTTATCACACCCAGCGATTCTCAGGGTTTACTCTTGGTACTGCACTCAGGAATTACTCCTGGTGGTGTATGAGGGACCATATGGGGTGTCAGGAATTGAACCCTGGTCAGCCACGTGCAAGTCAAGTACCCTACCTGCTGTACCCTTGCTCCTGTCCCAATACATAACTTTTTGTAACTTTTTGTTTTGTTTTGGGTCCACCCCTGGCAGTGAGTGATCAGAGACTTCTCCCATCTCCATGCTCAGAGGTCACTCTCAGCTGTGCTCTGGAGACATTGAGGTGCTGGGGATTGATCCCAGGGCTCCAGCATGCAAAACATGCAATCTAGCCCATAGAACTATCTCAATCCTAACTGTAACTGTTTTATTTTGTTTTGGGGCCATACCCGGCAGTGCTCAGGACTTACTCCTGGCTCTGTGTTTCGGGATCACTTCTAGTGGAGCTCCAGGGACCATATGGGTGGCTGGGGATCAAATCCAGGTTGGTAGCAGGCAAGGCAAGCGCCCTCCCCTCTGTACTATTTCTCTGGCCCCAAACCTTTAAGCCTTAATTTCGTTAGCTGAAAATGAACTGATTGTGTGTAAGAATTAAATGACCATGCAAGAAAGTCGCTTTACACAGTGTAGACACCATTTCTCTCTTTGAATAAAAGTTAGCTCTTATTCTTTTTTTTAAATTTTTTTGTAGATTTACAATTTTTTGTGCTTGGGTTTCGATTATACAATGATCAAATACCCATCCCTCCACCAGTGCCCATTTTCCACCACCATGGATAATATCCCTCCCACCCCTTCCCTCCCATCCCACCCTGCCTCTGTGGCAGGGCGATCCCTTGTGTTCTCTCTCTCCTTTTGGGAGCTCTTATTCTTGTTCTCTCTGGGACTCCTTTTTTCAGTTCCTGGCACTCAGATGGCACAGAGGTAGGTAGGCAGCCGCAATTGTTCTTTTAGTGGAAAGAATGAGGAAAAGATCCGGGGCTTGAAGGTGAGCCCCCACACAAACTTTTAATTCTTTACCACACCCTCTCAGCAAAGGGTTCTGTCTTGTTTCGGTGCCAGGTGAGGAGGAAATAGGTGGCAGGGTTGCAACTAAGGCTCTGACCTTCTTCCTCTTGCCCAGTCTGTAAGTACATCGTCCACGGCCACTGCGCCATGAAGGCCCGGCCTTGCGAAGTCAGCACCTATGCCAAGTCTAGGAAGGACATTGGCGTGAGTAACCCCGTGCCCTCCCTCTCTCCTCGCACGTGCTGTCCTTAGCCTTCCCTTCAGGCCCTGATCAGAACCCCTCAGACAAGAGATTGCCTTGCTCCCCAAGGTGCAATCACATGTGTGGGTGCGTGGAGGCTGTGAGTCTGGCAAATGTGACCGCTGCCAGAAGAAGATCCGGATATACCACGGTCTAGCCGGGCTGCATTGTGTGTGGTGCCACCTAGAGGTCAGTCGGGGAACTGTACCTCCTGGCCCCGGATCCCTCGCTCAGCTGCCTTACCTGGGTCAGACTCTGGGCTTTCCTCCCTTCCTGCCACCGTGTCTCTGCTCCCAAGGAATCCACGTTGCCAAGAGACAGGACTCCCTCCATGATTTCTTCGTGCCCACCTTGTCTTTCAGATTCACGACGACTGCCTGCCAGCCATGGGCCAAGAGTGTGACTGTGGCCTGCTCCGTGATCACATCCTGCCTCCATCGTCCATCTACCCCAGCGTTCTGGTGAGGGCCCAGGGCAGCAACTTGTGCTTCCTGGACAGACACCCACCGCTGTGCCAGACGGTTAAGTCAGATGCCCCGGGTGGGGGATCCCACGCCATCCAGTTACCCTCTCTCCCCTCCTAGGCCTCTGGAACAGAGCGTAAAAGCACCTCCGCTTTAAAGACAGACCAGAGGACCACGGAAGATTTAAGTTTGAGCACCTTTGAAGCTCTTCGGGTACGAGACTCAGAGACTTGAGCTTTATGGTGGGGGCTGGTTTCTTTTCATTGGAGCCCCCCTGGGAGGGAATGAAAGGAGAAGGCCAGGGATGGTACTGCCCTCCAAAAGAGCCTCATTAGTCGGGAGAGATGAGTGTCCCAGGGGACAGCCAGCTTCCCTCTCTCTCTCTCTTTTTTTTTTTGGGTCACACCTGGCAATGCACAGGGGTTACTCCTGGCTCTGCACTCAGGAATTACTCCGGGCGGTGCTTGGAGGACCATATGGGATGCTGGGAATCGAACCTGGGTCAGCCACGTGCAAGGCAAACACCCTACCCGCTGTACTATCACTCCAGCCCCAGCCAACTTCTCTCTTAACTATGACAAAATGTTGCTTTCCTGAGCCCTGGTTTTCTTCCCCTCATACAGATTAACCCTGTTTCAAACACACACCCACTTCTGGTCTTTGTCAACCCCAAGAGTGGTGGGAAGCAGGGAGAGAGGTGAGAAAAGATTTACTGGCTTTTCCAAGATGGCAACGGGCTTGGTAACTTGGTGTGTCATCCCCTGCCATGATCCGTACTTCTTCCCTCCCCAGAGTACTGTGGAAATTCCAGTATCTACTGAATCCTCGCCAGGTCTTCAACCTTCTGAAGGATGGTCCCGAGCCAGGGTGAGTGTAAGCTGTGGCTCCTTGCCAGTATTCGCGTGGGTCTGCGTAGGAGAGAGCAGGAGTACACCCATATTGGAAGCCAGGGGGTTGGGGTGCGAACAACCAGGATTCAAGGTGCAGCTTTTCCTCTGGTCATTGGGCATCCTCACGCAGTTCTCTGGCTCATCTTTGATGCTGCTTTCTCCCCCAACCACTGAAAAATTCCTCTATTTCCTGTTTTTCGTTTTTCTTTTTGGGTCACACCTGGCGATGCACAGGGGTTACTCCTGGCTCTGCACTCAGGAAACATTCCTGGCGGTGCTGAGGGAACAATATGGGATGCTGGGAATCGAACCCAGGTCGGCCGTGTGCAAGACAAACACCCTACCTGCTGTGCTATTGCTCCAGCCCCTGTTTTGTTTTCTTTCTCCTTAAGAGAAACATGGGCTGAAGTGATAGCACAGTGGGGAGGGCGTTTGCCTTGCATGTGGCCGACCTGGGTTCAATTCCTCTGCCCCTCTAGGAGAGCCCGGCAAGCTACCGAGAGCATCCCACCCGCAGGGCAGAGCCTGGCAAGCTCCCTGTGGCGTATTCGATACGAATCGTATTCGATATGCCAAAAACAGTAACAACAAATATCACAGTGGTGACATTACTAGTGCCCGCTCAAGCAAATCAATGAATAGCAGAAGGACAGTGCTACAGTGCTAATAGGAACATAAATGTTTTGATGAGGGAAGGGGAGGGGCCACATAAGAGATGATAGTCTAGAAGTAATCTGCCCGTGCAGAGATCTGATGGCCTCGAGACTGTTGTCCTTCCTCATTTTTTTTCCAGTTTTGTTTTGGGGCCACAAGACAACCACACCAGAGCTTACTCAGGGATCACTCTTGGTGGGCTCAGGGGACCTTATGGGATGCTAGGGATCAAACTTAGGACAGCCATGTGCAAGGCAAGCATCCTACCCGCTATGCTATTTCTCCAGCCCCTGTTGTCTTGATTTTGGTTTTTTGAATTACACCCTGTGGTGTGCAGGGTTTACTCCTGACTTTGCACTCAGGGATAACTCCTGATGTGGCTTGGTATATGTGGTATCGGAGATAGAACCCAGGTGAGCTACATGCGAGGCAAGTACCCACGATGTAGGATAACACTGTTTTGTCCTTCCTCAGGTAGCTTAGATTTATCAGGCCACACCCATCTAAGGACACTGAACTTGTATTGTAAGCAATGTCCTTTCTGTGTGGACACAGGAAGACAGTTAATATTATGCTTTGTAACTTGGGAGTTGATTGATTCCGAATAATATTTACTCCTGGGCATCTGCTTTCTTGACTCAGTTGCCCTTAGATCCTAGCACCCCAAAAGCAGAGTCCCGACAATGGACTGAATGGACCCAGGGCAAGCTGTGAGCTACCCTGGCATCGAAATGGGCCAGGCCAAAGCGCCACGATACTCAACTCTAAGTTGAGGGCATGATCATGGACAAATGCTGTCATGATCCAAAGTAAGTAACAACGAGACTAGGACCCTGTTAGGGCTAGGAAGACTAACCTGGTCTGAGGACTGCAGAATGTATGAGATGTTTTTATCTCTTACTGTGCTCACACAGAATGACGTTGCTAGAAATATTAGAAGTAGATTTACTACAACTATTTAAGTAGATTACTAGCTTCGGCGTGATAAGATTTTACACCACTGTACTATCTCTCGACCCTGTCCTTCTTCATTTTCTCTCTCACCTTTTATCTCAGGCTCAGATTCTTCAAGGATGTTCCTGATTGCCGAATTTTGGTGTGTGGTGGAGACGGCACAGTGGGCTGGATTCTAGAAACCGTTGGTCAGTACAGGGAGAGGCTCCAGGCAGGGTATTGGGACAGTGGCTTCCCAGACTAACTCTCTCTCTCTTCTCACTTGCATCCCCAGACAAAGCCAACTTGTCTGTTTTGCCCCCTGTCGCCGTGCTGCCCCTGGGCACCGGAAATGATCTGGCCCGTTGCCTAAGATGGGGAGGAGGTAAGTGGTTAGAAATTGTTTTCTGTACAGATGGGGGGCATTGGATAGGAAAGAGAAAGGGTATCTAGTATGCTTGGAGAAGAAGATTGGGGAGAAAAAGAGGCACACGTGGGTATGTACCAAAATGGATTGTCATCAGAACGGAAGAATATTTTGAAACAAGAAGCTAGGATTATCATCTGAACCCAGAAGGGTCAAGAATGATAGTATTCTTCCCTGGAAATCTAAAACTATTCTTGTTTTTCCAACCTAGTGTTAGAGGGAGGGAGCAATAGAACAGGGGCTAAGACACTTGTCTAGTATGTGGCTGACCCAGGTTTGGCCCCCAGCATCACCAGGAGTCACTCCTGAGCATCAAGTTGGGAATAGTCCCTATGCATGACCAGGGTGGCCCAATAAACAAACAGAGAGAGAAAGGGGAGGGGGGAGAAAGGGAGAGAGAGAGAATGAGCATTTGCTTGAGGTATGCGTTGGTAGCACAGTAGCACGGTCCTCCTGTTGTTCATCTATTTGCTCGAGTGGGCCCAGTAACGTCTCCATTGTGAGACTTATTACTGTGTTTGGCATATTGAATACGTCATGGGTAGCTTGCCAGGCTTTGCCGTGCGGGTGAGATGCTCTCGGTCGCTTGCCAGGCTCTCCGAGAGAGGCAGAGGAATCGAACCTGGCTCGGCCAGGCCTGCTGTACACAGGGCAAATGCCCTACCACTTCGTTGGTAGAAAAAGAAATCTGTGTGGGGCAATTGCATCGGAAGTATCTTGGTGTTGATCCTGTTGGATTCAGAGTCCAGCTCTAAGATCTTGCTGGAGATAACAGTATGGGAGTCTGCCTAGTAGGTGAGAAGGCTTCTGCATGAAAAAGCGTGAGGTGAAAACAGTCACCAATGTGGTCGCACATCAAAGTATGTCTTTCATTGGCTGGGGCTTCAAGTGAAAGGTGGAGAAGGGCCAAAGGATGGACTGGGTTGAACAGCGTTCAGATTATTTGTATCTAGAATGCTGTGTCAGGGCCAGAGCCATAGTACAGAGGGTAGGGTACTTGGCCTGCACACGGCCAACCTGGGTTCGAACCCCCAACATCCCATATGTTCCCCGAGTACCACCAGGAGTGATCCCTGAGTGCAGAGCCAGAGTAAGCCCTGAGCATCTCCTGCTATGCCCCCCCTAAAATAAAACAAAACTTTTAAAAAGAATGCTGTATCATGGGGTCAAAGCAACAAATGGGGTGTTTCCGTTGAATGCACCTGACCTGGATCAATCCCCAACACCACATATGGTTCCCTGAGCCCTGCCAGGAATGATTCTTGAGCACAGAGTCAGGAGCAAGCCCCGAGCAACGCCAGGTGTGCCCCCCAAACAAAACAAAACAAAAGAGAATATTGTGCCAGGGAGTTTTTTTTAGTAGGGAGGATGCCACACTCATTCCCCCTTACGCTCACTGGTGCCTGGCTCAGTGTTCAGTGGCTTCTCTGAGTGGTTCTCAGGGAGATCTTGCAATGTTGAGGTTGAACCCAGGGCCTCTCTGTGCAAAGCATGTGCTGTAGACCTTTGAGTCATCGCCCCAGCCCCTCAGTGGAGGGTGTTTTAAACTTTATGCTGCTGTTGGGGCTGGAGAGATGGTCTTCAGCGGGTAAGGCACTTACTTGCCTTGCACATGGTTGACCTGGGTTTGATTTCCGACACCTTATAGGGTCTTTCTCGCACCACCAGGAGTGGTTCCTGAGTACAGAGCCAGGAGCAACCCCTAAGCATCCCCAGGTGTGCCCCCCCCAAAAAACATAAACTCTATTGTTTATGTTTTTATTGCTTTATTTTTTTAAAGTGGAAAACTGAAATCCCAAAGAAAGGATCATATTGTTTATCGGGTAGTATTCTGCATTTTTTGAAACTTGGTTATTTCTGAGAATTTTGCATCATGTTCAGTTCGCCGTAGTCCTCACAGCTTCTTGCTGTTCATTCATTCACATCACCTCTTTTTTTGTTTGTTTGTTTTCTTTTTGGGTCACACCTGGTGATGCACAGGAGTTACTCCTGGCTCATGCACTCAGGAATTACTCCTGGCGGTTCCCAGGGGACCATCTAGGATGCTGGGAATAGAACCTGGGTTGGCCGCATGCAAGACAAACGCCCTACCCACTGTGCTATCACTCCAGCCCCACCTATTTTTTTTTTTTTTTTTTTTTGCCACTGAGGCATCTAAATGTAAAATCCCTGAACCATAAGAAACACTTGAAACCATGAAAGATGTAACTGGGGGGTCAATGAGCTAGGACAGCAGGTAAGGCACATGCCCTGTACATGCCCTGCCCAGGTTCAATCCCTGGCATCCCATATGGTCCCCTGAGCCACATTCTTGGTCATAATTTAAATCTCATGTGTGAACATGCCACCAGCTTTTTTGGCCAGTTCTTTTATTTTTTGGGCCAAACCCATCAGTGCTCATGGTTTATTCCTAACTCTGAACTCAGAGATTACTCCTGGTGGGGCTCAGGGGACTATATGGGCTACTGGTTCAGCTGGGTGCAAGGCTCACAGTACCATCCTTACCTTAAATACTATCACTCCGTCCCCTTTGGCAGGTTCTTAAATCCTCCACATCTGACTTGGTTTTCATTTATAGTTTCAGACCCTTTGAAATTATGTTTTGGGTCTTCATGTATTCTGCAAGTGACTCATAGTAATTTCTGCTAATTCTACGGGATCATGAAAATAATATAAATATGACTGTAGCACTGTAGCACTGTCTTTCTGTTGTTCATCAATTTTCTCAAGCGGACCCACTAACATCAATATGATGTTAACAAAAATTTCTGTCAATCTGAAAAAAATCCCTAAGTTTTTTTTTTTTTTTTTTTTTTTTGCTTTTTGGGTCACACCCGGCAATGCACAGGGGTTACTCCTGGCTCTGCGCTTAGAAATTACCCCTAGCGGTGCTCAGGGGACCATATGGGATGCTGGGAATCGAACCCGGGTCAGCCACGTGCAAGGCAAACGCCCTACCCACTGTGCTATTGCTCCAGCCCCAAATCCCTAAGTTTTGAAGAAGAGGGAAATGAAAGGAAAGCCACTGTAGCAGCTCTGTGGTGAATGGCTTGCAGGGAGAAGCGGAGAGGCAACTACCTTATTGCAGCAGTCTAGTCAAGAGATGATGGTATGAAACGGACAGCAGCAGTGGGGCTCAGAGGTAGGAGCCACCTCAGTTGGTAACTGAGAAGGCAGTAAAGTCTGGGACACTTTCTGGCTTTGAGGATTGGGCAGATGGCGGTGCCGTTTATTAAGATAGAACGTATAGGGGACTGGAGAGATACTACAGTGGGTAGGGTGCTTGCCTTGCACTCAGCTGACCCAGGTTCATTACTTGGCACTTCATACGGTCCTCCAAGTACCACCAGGAGTGATCGCTGCACTCACAGAGTCAGGAGTAAAATCTGAGCACTGCTAGTTGTGCCCAAAAAACAAACGAACAAAAAAAAAAAAAAGGAAAGGGAGGAAGGGGAAGGAGGATGGGAGGGAGGGAGGAAGGGACAAGGGAAGAAATGATACTCAGCCAGAGAGACTGCCCAGGAGGTAATTAGGCGCTGGCTTTGCACACAGCCAACCTGGGTTTCATCGCTGCCATTACATACGGTTCTGTCAGTCTTGCCAGGAATGAGGAGCACATGGGGCTGAAGCTATAGTACAGCGGGTAGGGCCTTTGCCTAGCATGTGGCCAGACCAGATTCGATCCCTGGCATTCCATCTGGTCCCCTGAGAACCGCCAGGAGTCGTTCCTGAGTGCAAGGCCAGGAGTAATCCCTGAGCGACTCTGGATATGACCCAAAAAGAAAAAATAAATCAGGAGTGATGAGCACAAAGATAGAAGCAAGACCCGAGCACAACAGGTGTGCTCTGTCCCCCCGCAAAAAAAAATAGCTTTTGTCAGCGGCCAACCCGGGTTCTATTCCCAACATCCCATATGGTCCCCCCGAGTACCGCCAGGAGTAATTCCTGAGTGCAGAGCCAGGAGTAACCCTGAGCATCCCCGGGTGAGACCCAAAAAGAAAAAAAAGTAGCTTTTGTTTTGGACACGTTGTGTTGATGTGTCAGTGGAGCATCCAGATGGAGATGTGTGGTGGGAACTTAGAAAGAGATGTCAGGAGTTGGAGCAGCCGCTCAACTGGCTAAGCACACGCTTTGTGTGCAGGAGACTTGAGTTCAACCCTTAGCACAGTACATGGTCCCCCAGCACTGCCAAGAACAACACCCGAGCACACTGAGGTGGGAGTATCCCCTGAGCATCTCTGTGTGTGGACCCTCCTGCTCAGAAAAATAGATGTCGAGGCCAGAGTGATAGTACAGTGGGTAGGGCACTTGCCTTGCACACAGCTGGCCTGGGTTCAATCCCTGGTACCCATAAGGTCCCTCAAACCTGCCAGGAGTGATTACTGACTGCAGAGCTAGAAATAAGCCCTGAGCACTGCCAGGGGTTACCTGTGGTCCAAAACAAACAAAATAAATGTTTGTTTAAGAAGCTGAGGAAGTGACTCAGTGGTAAAGTGTGTGCTTTGAATGCATGAAACCTGGGTTTTATCCCTGATTGTGCAAAGAGAGAGAGAGAGAGAGAGAGAGAGAGAGAGAGAGAGAGAGAGAGAGAGAGAGAGAAAGAGAGAGAGAGAGAAAGAGAGAAAGAAAGAAAGAAAGAAAGAAAGAAAGAAAGAAAGAAAGAAAGAAAGAAAGAAAAGTCAGAAAGAAAGAGATGGCAGGGAATGAAGTGCAAAGTCATGGCTGAAAATGCTTCAGTTATCTGTTCCCAAAAGGTAATTGATATCCTGAGAGTAGATGAGTTACCTCGGGAAAGAGGTCAGATGAGAAGTTGGACAAGGACAGCAAGATCCTGCGAAACATCATAATTAAGGAGTAACAGGGCTAGAATTAGTTCAGCAGTAGGGTTGCTCACATGTATGAGGCTCCCCAGCAGGGAAAAACTATATAAATCAAATTAATTAAAACATTCAATTGCA